TTTACTACACTGCATTGACCTTCAAGGGTCTAATTTAACACACGTAAGCACACAGGTTTCTCATTTGTAAGTGGTCCATCTGGCAGGCAGCATATGGAAACAGACCCTTGGACAAGGTCATAAGAAGGTTAATTAAGTCTAGATTTTAAAATATTTTTCTAAAATCTGAAAGAAAGAAAGAAAGAAAAATACTGTTAATGATAATACTGAGTAGTAGCAGGGCGCCTGGGTGGCTCAGTTAAGCGTTTGCCTTCAGCTCAAGTCCTGATCCTAGCATCCTGGGATCAAGCCCCACATCAGGCTCCCTGCTCAGTGGGAAGCCAGCTTCTCTCTTTCTCTCCCCACTCCCCCACTCGTACTCTCTCTCGATCTCTCTCTCTCAAATAAATAAAATCTGTAAAAAAGTATTGAGTACTAGCTAACAGCAAAGTATTATGCTGGGTGCTGTAATAAATATTACATTGTAACATCTTGCTTAAGCCTCACAATATTCCTTTGAGGAAAATACTATACAAGCCCTCACTTTTCAGATGAGAAAAATACGACATTGAGAGGTTACTTGCAAAAGATCTCCTGGCTGGGGCGCCTGGGTGGCTCAGTCGTTAATCGTCGTCTGCCTTCGGCTCAGGTCATGATCCCAGGGTCCTGGGATCGAGCCCCGCATCGGGCTCCCTGCCGCATCGGGCTCCCTGCCGCATCGGGCTCCCTGCCCAGCCGGAAGCCTGCTTCTCCCTCTCCCACTCCCCCTGCTTGTGCTCTCTCTCTCGCTGTGTCTCTCTGTCAAATAAATAAATAAAATCTAAAAAAAAAAATTAAAAAAAGATCTCCTAGCTGAAGTAGTGGAGCCAAGATATGAATCCAGGATATCTTCTACCACATACTTGTTCCTCTGTATTATCTCCCCTGATAAAGGGAACAGTTCAGTACATGATAAAGATCTCAGAGAAAATCCTGTAGTATCGTATACTATTAGCTCCAAAGTCATCACGCTGAGGCCTTAGGGGTTAGTGTCATGAGAAAAATAGCAATATAAAGGAGATTATGTGTTTTTTAAATAATTCCATTGATACATTAATTTCTTTGGTATGTTTCAGTATACTAGATGATTAGCACCTTTGGGTAAACGCCATGCATTGGACTTTTTCTGTTTCCTTCACTCACTCAATCATTATTGACTATTATTGAACAATATTGATATTTCACTGTGGAGAAGGCACCATAGTGCCTAACACTGAGCTTGGTGTATAATAAACTCAAATTTTCATTGAACGATTAGTTATAGAAGGAAGAGGTTTTACCTGAAGTTCTCTAGATGTAGTTCCATAGGAATTGATCATTACTGATTTTGATAATTTCATCACCAAATTACTAAGACAATATTCCACAGGGAGGGTTTGAGTTAGAATCTATGTTTAGTGTAACAACTTGCGAATTGGTGGTGGTCAGCAAATGCTAGTAATTATAACCTTTCTAGGGAGTAAGTAAATTGAAAATAATACTTGTTCGCTTTTTCTCTAACATTTTATTTATTTTATTTTTTAATTTAAATTAAATTAATTAACATATAATGTATTATTTGTTTCAGGGGTACAGGTCTGTGATTCATCAGTCGTATATAATTCCCAGTGCTCATTACAACAATGTCCAATGTCCATCACCCAGTTACCCCATCCCTCCAACCCCCTCCCCTCCAGCAACCCTCAGTTTGTGTCTAACATTTTAAAGGCTCTCTAATACTTAACATTAGGCTGTGCTAATATCAAAAGCTTGTAGCCCAGTTTATTCATTAGAGTCCTCTATCTTGTTTTACAAAGTAGAGGAAATCCTTTATTAACAGCAAGTCAACTCGTAGTTCTCATCAGGACTCTGCCGACAACCAGTAAGTTCACTTGTAGTACCTTTAGTGAACCCAAAATGAATAGGCAAATGGTGCCCAGACTTGAGGAAGTGCATTTCTACCTTCTTGCAACAAAAAGAGCCACAATCTGGTGTCTAATGTCCATACTCTGCTGAAGTATGCAAAACAAATATTCCTGCATCCATTTCTCAAAAAGTCATCAAGTAGCCTAAGGTTTATCTAGAAACTGCCTCAAAGGTAAAAATAAAAATATTGCCATAGACTTCTGTGACATAGTGGAAAGGGTATTGGAAGTGGTTTGGGATAACTAGATTTTATTTTGCTTTTCTAAAAGATTTTATTTAGCTTTTCTAAAAGATTTTACTTATTTGACACAGAGAGAGAGCACAAGCCGGAGGAGCAGGAGAAGGAGAAGCAGGTTCTTGCTGAGCAGGGAGCCTGACGTGGGGTTGATCCCTGGACTCCACCATCATGACCTGAGCCAAAGGCAGACACCTAACCAACTGAGCCACCCAGGCACCCCAAGAACTAGATTTTAAACCCAGGTCTAACTACAATGCGATCTGTGTGGGCAAGATACTCAACCTCTGCTTCCTCATCTGTAAAATAATATTCTCCGGGTGCCTGGGTGGCTCAGTCGTTAAGCGTCTGCCTTCAGCTCAGGTCAAGTTCCCAGCATCCTGGGATCGAGCCCCGCACCGGGCTCCCTGCTTGGCAGGAAGCCTGCTTCTCCCTCTCCCACTCTCCCTGCTGTGTTCCCTCTCTCACTGTCTCTCTCTGTCAAATAAATAAATAAAATCTTTTAAAAAAAAAATTAAATAAAATAAAATAATATTCTCCTCTCTGGGTTTTTACAAAGGTTAAAAAAAAATAATACACATGAAGTGGCACCCTAAAAAAAAGTCAGTTTAATTAAAACCACAAATATTATGGTAAATATGTTTCTTTTTTTTTCTTTCTTTTTAACGGGAAAAAAACCAAACAGATATTTAATACCATGTATACCTCCTGTATACATGGGAGACACCCAGAGAAACTAAGTAACCTCAAAGATGTCTCTTTATCTGCTAATTTGTTGTAAAAAACTAAGAATTATGAAGAAATAGGATCTTTGTTTCTTTCTTTGGCCCCTACCTTCCTGGCGTTCTGATTTATATAAAGAGTTTCACCACTGAGGAAGTCCATGTGAGATTTAATCCCTTCCGGCAGGGCAAAATGCCCACGTCCTCATGTAAATACATGAGAGGAGTATCATGTATCAGCTTATATAATGAGAATTCATCTCAGCGTATTGCATCTCTTAGAATCATTTTTATTCAGTGAAAAGTTTTTTGACTTCTGAATTATGACTGGTCTCATTCATTCAGTTTTACGAGGTTAAACAGCAGATGTCTTTAATGTAGGACAAAAGATGACACCCCTCCCCCACTTCTATTTTTTTTTCTCTCCTCCCCTGGCCTATTCTCAGAACTTAGAATGGACAATATTACCCCTTAGACTGACACAGAGGACTAGCCAACCCTTTGAAAGACTGAGGTGTCTGGCTTGCTGATTCATACCTTCTTTAATTAAACAGAGATGATTGTTTCCAACTTACAATGTCTTTTTTCTGATACCTAATGAACTTCAGTCAACCAAGATCCTTTTTATATCACACAAGTAAATACTCAAATAACAGAAGAAATGGCAGTGTCCAAAAAGAATTCCAACTTAAGATATTTTTTCCCCTTAGGTAAGCCAAAATATGAATTATTCTGTCCATCTATAATGAAAAGTTAACTGAACTCATGCTGGTTTGTCTCTAAGAGCATTAGGTTGCCACTTTTTGATGAAGTTCAGTAATTTAGTCCTGCAGCATAATGGCAGGATCAATGGACAGAGAGAAGACTTGGACTCTATTTTCAGTTCTAGTTGTGGCTCATTACCATTTCTTTGCCCTGACCATCTTCTATTATTACTTGGAATCTCAATTGTATTGGCAAAGCAGAAAGACTTAGAAACCACCCTGTAAGCTAACAACTAAGATGCAGTGGCGTTATTTCTGCAATTGGTGTGCCGTTGTGGTCTCAGGCAAGAAATTGGCTAACTTGGCACCTCAGTTTCTTTATCCATGAAGACGTGATAAACTATTTGTTCCTCTTTTCCCACCAGATCCCTCACAGAAAGGCGGTAATGGAAACCGTATTGACGCTATAAAATATTTTGATCTCTCTAGGCTCTTGCTACATAAAGAGAAAGTCCTCTTTATATTTCAACTTGCATTTTCAGGTACTTAGTGCCCCCTGAGTTTGCACCATATCAATTCTATTTGGAAAAGAGTACTATGTGTACTGTTATTCTTTGCAGAACCCTTGCAGAAATAAAATGAGTCACAGGGTGCCTGGGTGGCTCAGTTGGTTAAGCGACTGCCTTCGGCTCAGGTCATGATCCTGGAGTCCCAGGATCGAGTCCCACATCGGGCTTCCTGCTCAGCAGGGAGTCTGCTTCTCCCTCTGACCCTCGTTCCCTCCCGTGCTGCTCTCTATCTCTCTCATTCTCTCTGTCTCAAATAAATAAATCTTTAAAAAAAAAAAAGAAATAAAATGAGTCACAAACAATATGCTTTCAGAAAACAAAATTATTTCACAAAATTTGTGATTGTTGGCTGTTAAAAATTCTTCTAATTCAAATGATCACCCTAATCATCTTAACTTGAAAGAGACAGCTTGTTCATTCAGAACTGTCTATTGCCATGTTGTCTAGGTAGCAAATACCAGCTAAAAAATGAGGATGCCACTCAGTTGATCCTCATTATTCCAGGATTTTTGTAAAATATCTAAGAAAAGTATGTAGGAATGAGGGATCTTAAAATCTAACAGCTGACAGATAGCTTCTAATCTTGGTTTTGCGTGTGTCAAACCTAAGAATGTTATAGGAATATTCACCTATCTCACGTAGATGATAGGAGCGTTGACAGATAATAAGTATATCCTGTCTAATTGCTAGAAGAATGATTATCCTTACAAGGCCCATTTTAATTTTTGAGGATTGTGATGGTAATGTATCTTGTTTTACAATCTCTCTCTCTCCTCCCCCCTCTTTTTTTTGTATTCAAAATGTGTTAATTGGGGTGGTTTCCCACTCATCTTGATTCAGGGTGCTTTTAGTGCTGCTTCCATCTGAAGGAACATCCTTCTGTAAGCCTTGCTTTTCCTCCTGTAGCCTGGCTGAGGACAGTGGGAGAAGCCAACATAGAAATTACTATTTGTGCATGGCTAAAGATGGTGGTGATTTTATAGCATCCTGGGCATGGCCACGAAGTAGGAACCAGGCTCTGCACCAGATGTTTCTTCTTCTCTTCTGGAAAGGGAGGGAGGAGATCCTTCTCAAGGGGCACGTTCTCAATGGGAGGTCGTCACTGCTGGAAAGGCTGTTACACAATATCTTTGTCACAGAATACTAACAGATCCAAAGCTCAGACAGTAAGGGAAAAAATTCTTAGACTGAGACATGAAATTGTATTAATTTAAAGACAGGTCTGAAACTGAAAGATCAATTTATAGGGTAAAAAGAATAGAGGAACATATGTACCAAAATTTGCAGCCAAGGAAGACCCAAGACATAGAATTGAGCTGGTAACTGACAGAGATTCTTATAGGAAAGTCAGAACTGCATGTGCCTGGCAACAAGTATTGGGGATTAGTCACTAGGAAACTGGAATCCAAAGGTAGGAAATCCAGTTACTTTGGTTACAAAAGATACACATAGAAAACCTATAAAACTCTTTGAGGACAGATCATTCGTTCATTCAATAAATATATGTTAAGCACCTATATATGCTAGAGACTATTTTAGACACTGGGAAATAAGCAGTGAACAGAACAAAGTTCACTGAACTTGTGTAGCTAGTTGGGGTGGGGGGGGCAGATAATAAACTAATAAGTAAAATACATAGTTTGTCAATAGAAATAAGTTTACAGGGAAAATTTAAGTGGGAAATTTCTGGGCATGGGAAGTAGGGTTGCAATTTTATTTTTTTTAATGATTTATTTATGTATTTATTTGACAGAGAGAGAGAGCACAAACAGGGGGAGCAGCAGAGGGAGAGGGAGAAGAAGGCTCTCTGCAAGCAGGGAGCCTGATGCAGGGCCTGATCCCAGGACTCTGGGATCATGACCCAAGCCAAAGGCAGACGCTTAACAACTGAGCTACCCTGGCGCCCTGAGGGTTGCAATTTTAAACAGAGTGATAGAGAAGGCCTCACTGAGAAGATGGCATATAAGCAAAGACTTGGACTAGACAAGAGGGAAGGAGACAGTCAGGCAGGTATCTTTGGAAGAGTGTTCTAGGCAGTGAATAGAACAAACGCAAAGAACTTGAGGCAGGATCCTGCCCAGCACGTTTGAGGAAAAGTCAGGAAGCCGTGTTGGAGCAGTGAGGCAAGGGGAAGAGTAGTAGATGATGTCAGAGAAGTAAGAGAGAGACACCATATGTCGGGCCCTGAAGATCATTGCAAGGCGTCTGGCTTTACTTTGAGTGAGATGAGAAATTATCAGAGAATAGTGAGCAGAGAAAAAGCACAACATGATTTCCAGCTTAAAAGGATGCATCTGACTACTGTTTTGAAACTAGACCATAAGGGGGCAAATATGGAAGCAAGACCATTTAGGACGCTATTCCAATAATCCAGGGAAGAAAAAACAGGAGCTCAGACAGGCTCTTGTGCTCAAGTGGCAAGTGATCAGAAGTGATTCTGAAGGTAGAGCACTCAGGATATGCTAATGGACTTGAAATAAGAAGGGAGAGAAAGAGAGGAGTTAAAGATGACACCAAGATTTTTGTCCTGAAAAACTGGAAAATGGAGATGCTCTTTATTGATATAGAGAAGAATGTGGGAGGAGTCTTAACCTTCCTTGTGTCCTCATGGCCCTAGCACAATGCCAGACACTTGGGAATGTTCAGTGAATACCAATAATCTAATCTGAATCTAGTTTCTATGTATTTGAGATCAGAGTTGTTCTAGATACAGGACTGACTCGTTGGAGTTACTCAACTAGGGCTTGGTTCTAGGCTCTGGGACGAGGTTAAAATCATTGACTTGTACTAGCTAGCAAGCTAACTTGTACTAGCTAGCAAGAACCAACTGCTAAATTTTTGAGACACTGCAAGCCAGGTGTTAAATACAGTTGTTTTTTAAACTTGTTATATACACTTACAGTTGGTAATTAAAAACAAAGGTAAAAGTACCTAAAATTCATCACTTCCTAATTATTTTACTACATCTTACTATTATCTGTGCCCTTGAGGTTATTTGTGTTTGTTTTATGTGTATGATAGAAATACTGTATAATGGTGTGCTATGGGGCATCTCTTCCCAACTCTGTGTTCAGTGATGTTATGTCAGTAGCTTTTTTTTTTTTTTTGGCGCCTGGGTGGCTCAGTTAGTTAAGCGTCTGCACAGCTCAGGTCATGATCCCAGCATCCTGGGATCGAGCCCCGATCGGGCTCCCTGCTCTGCGGGAAGCCTGCTTCTCCCTCTCCCACTCCCCCTGCTTGTGTTCCTGCTCTCGCTAACTCTGTCTCTGTCAAATAAATAAAATCCTTAAAAAAAAAAGATTATTTATTTATCTACCTGACAGAGAAAGAGAGAGAGCATAAGCCGGTGGAGTAGCAGGTAGAGGGAGAGGGAGAAGCAGGTTCCCTGCTGAGCAGGGAGCCCAATGCGGAGCTCCATCCCGGAGTCCTGGGATCATGACCTGAGCCGAAGGCAGATTAACCAACTGAACCACCCAGGCGCCCCTGTCAGTAGCTTTATTTTTTTTTTTTAAGATTTTATTTATTTATTTGAGAGAGAGAGAATGAGAGATAGAGAGCACGAGAGGGAAGAGGGTCAGAGGGAGAAGCCGACTCCCCGCCGAGCAGGGAGCCCGATGTGGGACTCGATCCCGGGACTCCAGGATCATGACCCGAGCCAAAGGCAGTCGCCCAACCAACTGAGCCACCCAGGCGCCCTGTCAGTAGCTTTAAATTGGCCATGGTGTGAGTATCTACAATACAGAAATTGGCAAATGCTACAAATGAGGGATCTCCCCTCTCCCTTTCCCGCCCCAGAGCTGGTTAAATCTACAAGTGGAAATTTAGTCACGCCAGCTTTGAAGGCAATGATAGGGGATGGGCAAACTGTTATATATTTTGTAAATACACACAGGTACAGGCACTGGACACAGAGTATTATAGTACGGTTATGCAAGAGGTTTTCCCTGTTCTGATGAGGGAGGGTTGGGGACTGAGGAAATTGTAGTAGGAGGAAGACACACAAGGAAATTCCACATAGGGAAAGAAAGGCCTTAATGATTGACCAAACTAGGAATTGCTAAAAAAGATTAGCATCTATGGTCAATCAATGGCTTAATAGGATAAACCTGGAGCAAATTACAAACTGTTAACAGAGGAGATTAACAGCTTTGGTTGGCTTATTTGTTTATCTGATATTATAAAGGATGAGGAGAAAATGGGGACTAGTCAATGCCATGAGTAGCAACTGCGTATTTGCAAAACTTTCCTGTATTAAGAATCTTATATTTTGTTAGGCCTTGTAGAAAAGAAACATCAAGGATACTAAAGACACTATCTAATTATTCCTGTGAGACAGCTAGAAAAACAGCACAGTATAGTTTTGTCATTTTTATTTTGCAAAGAAGGAAGCTGGAATCCAAGAAATATAATATAAATGGGTTATTGAGGATAACAGAGTGAGTGAGACAATTTAGGGGGGAAAAGCGTATTCATATGTGTGTGTGTGTGTGTGTGTGTGTGTGTATAAAACAGACAACAATGAAAAAGCCCGCAGCATTTAGTAATTCATTTTTCAAGGGAAGCAGGAATAAAAATATGTATATTAATTACAAATGTGGCAATTAAAACAATAAAAACATAGAAATGACAAAGGAGACTATGAAAAATACATCTTTTTTTTTTTAAGATTTTATTTATTTATTTGAGAGAGAGAGAGAATGAGAGATAGAAAGCACAAGAGGGAAGAGGGTCAGAGGGAGAAGCAGACTCCCCGCCGAGCAGGGAGCCCGATGTGGGACTCGATCCCAGGACCCCAGGATCATGACCTGAGCCGAAGGCAGTCGCTTAACCAACTGAGCCACCCAGCCGCCCTGAAAAATATATCTTTGATTCCCAATTTTCTTCAAGTCTTTCTACTTCACTGATTCTAAATGGTTCCCAAACTGTTCTTTTTTCCTATTCCTTAAATTTATTCATTCTTCATCTCCCATTCTCCCCCATTGGCTTTTTGTTCAAAGCTCAATCTTTTTTATTTATAATGTTTTCACAAAGTTGTCTTGTATAACACAGTAAGACTTCATATTTAGCAGAATCACTTGGTTTGAGCATTAGTCTTATTTCCCCAAATTTACAAATGTGAGGATGTAGAATTACTAGGTAAAAGAATAGGAACATTTTGAAAGCTTATAGGTTTATCAAGACTGTAGTGATGTGTGAAAGTACCTGTTCCTTGTACCCTGACTTCTTTGATATGATTGTTTAAAATATTTACTAAGTTCCTAAGTGAAAATGGATATTTTATTATTTTAGTTTTCATTTCTTTGATTACTAGTGAAACAATATTTTTTCATTTTGCTCACTAATATTACGTCTTTTACTACCCAATTCTTTCAGGCTCAGTGTGCTTTTATCAATGTGTATCAATTTCTTTATATAAGAAAGATAACAGCCCCTTAAACTTGATAGTTTTTGCAGATATTTTCCAATTCTATTGTTGTCTATTCACTTTGGTTACCTTAAGAAAAAGGTCATATTTTCCTTTGAGTTTTAAAAATTGCTGCCAAGTGGGCGCCTGGGTGGCTCAGTCATTAAGCATCTGCCTTCGGCTCAGGTCATGGTCCCAGGGTCCTGGGATAGAGCCCCGCATCAGGCTCCCTGCTCAGCGGGAAGCCTGCTTCTCCCTCTCCCACTCCCCCTACTTGTGTTCCCTCTCTTGCTGTGTCTCTCTCTGTCAAATAAATAAAATCTTAAAAAAAAAAGAAAAAAAAATGCTGCCAAGTATATAAAATAATCACCTTCCAGAGGCTTATTACATATTCTGTTCTATTTTCTTCTGACTTTTCCATTGTTTAATATTTTATACCTACTCTTTAATTCATCTGGAATTTATTTTGATATATAGTATGAGAAGATGGTCTATTTTTTCTTTTTTAAAAATTTTTTAAAGATTTTATTTATTTATTTGAGAGAGAGAGAGAGCACAAGCTGGGGGAGGGGCAGAGGAAGAGAGAGAGGGAGAAGCAGACTCCCTGCTGAACACGGAGCCTGACATGGGGCTCAACCCCAGGACCCTGAAGATCATGACCTGAGCCGAAGTCGGATGCT